ATTGTTGTTCTTTCTCGTTGCATAGTACTCCATTGTGTGTATGTACCATAGTTTGTTTATCCATTCATCTGTTGATGGGCATCTATCTACATGCCAGTTTTATTAAAACTTTTTTTATTGCCAAACATTGTGCCTACAGTAAATGAAATAAATTATCTCTTCCTGACACATCATTTTTCTGTGCTTTCATTCTAGCCTCCTTATCTATATACATAAGAGTTTTTGCTTAGTTTTATGATAGTGGAGAAAAAAGGATTTTATTTTGTTTCCTCATTTACATTGAAGATTTATAAACAGTTCACCTATTGGCTTAGTCATTGTCTCATTTATCCCTTTTAGTGTATGTATGCAAATGTATATGTTCATTCCCTGTTGTTGGACAATATAGATGGTTTCCAGTTTTTCTCCTTGGTAATAATGAAGTGACCATCTTTGTTCTTTTAAATAATTTCTTAGGACCATCTCTGTTCTTTTAAATAATTTCTTAGGGTAAGTTACCAAGATTGGAATTACTGGGTAATGTTAAGATAAAATTACAGGATATAGATTAAAAACTTTGGCAATTGTTTTTATGTTTCAAGTTGACAACCCAAATCCCAGATTAAATATAGTCTTTGGTCAGATAACCCTTTGTTTGGATACTGTTTGGTCAAAAGCAGTCAAATTCTTGTAGAGTTATCATGGAACACAGAGATAAATGCAAAATGCCCCTTGGTTGAGTTTAAATATAAGACTTTACCTTGTTCATCAGTTACTCTGTGTTGTTTGAAGTTTTCAAGTAAAGTGGCAGTATAATTTTCAGTTATATTTTATATAGTATTTATACATACCTGATTTTGTTGACAAAAATATTTTAAGGTGGTAAGAGTTATAAAATTAATATTATCTATGTCAACACTGAACAGTCGTGGTTTCAAATAAAAACTTTTTTCCCCAACAAAGTCAATTTTATAATTACTGCAAAAACTAAAACTAAGAGGGTAAACAAAACTAAGTAGGTGGTTTGATATTTCAGATGTTCCTATTTTATGAGGACAGTTAAAAGTTCTAGTTTTTAACTGTACTTAATGACACTGATTCATTATATGATTTACTTATGTGCTAGTTTTGTATTTCAGTCAGCTGTTCTGTTTGTGGTATATTTTCAGGTTTATTCTTAGAAATCTATATAGAGGAGCCCTGGTGGTGTAGTGGTTAAGAGCTCGGCTGCTAACCAAAAGGTCGGCAGTTTAAATCCACCAGCCGCTCCTTGGAAACCCTATGGGGCAGTTCTACTCTGTCCTATAGGGTCGTTATGAGTTGGAACTGACTGAACGGCGCCTAACAGCAACAACACAGGGTCACTATGATTTGGAATCTGCTCGTTGGCAATGGGTATGGAGGAATCTAAGAAAGAACTGTTAACTAATGTTAGTATTGTTTTTAGAATTGAAACATGATTTGATGTTTCTGCTACCTTTAACTATGTTGACTAGGTATTGGGGCTTTTGTTTTTAATTCCTAGGTAAATAATAATTTTTAAATTAGCATAAGCTGATCCTTAATTGCCAATTCTATGTACTATGTTTAATTAATATATAAAAATAAGAACATTTCACCGAAAGCTGAGATGAATTTAATATATTTTGCTATGTTTTTATGTACTGTGAAAGAAAAATTGTTTGGAAATGCTTTGGCTAAAAGCAACAATATTACTAGTAAAATTTGAAACTTTAAAATTTAGGTAACAAGATTTTTTAAAAATTATAATAAATGTGAAATTTGCTCTTCATCATTTTAGGGTGTCTATGGGCCAAAAGCTTATGTGGCAACCCAAGGACCTTTAGCAAATACAGTAATAGATTTTTGGAGGATGATATGGGAGTACAATGTTGTAGTAAGTAATTTACTTTTCATAATATATTTTGAGAAGTATTCTATATAATGACATAGGATGTTTTACTGAACTAAAGAATTAGAGGAATTTATAGCCGTAATTATATGTTTAATCATAGGTAATGTTTACTAAAAAGATAAAGACTGATTTCTGGGATGTCTCATTAAAGTCTCACAGACTAGTCAAAAGACTTTAAAAAGAGGGTGTGATAATACTTTAAATCTTGTCCTAAGTCAGTAACTCATAAGGCAGCTACCAAATAACTTATAAGAACCAAAAGATACGAGTGCTTTAATAGGCCAGTAAAATGTTATATTCAGCCATGTTCTTAACTGTTTTTGAGTCAAAAACCCTTTTAAGACCTTCTTACCAGAATAAAAAAAACATATAAATTGTTGTATAAAATTTAAGAAATCCAAAGACACTCCTCTTCCCTTAAAAACCCTATTCAGTTAGAAGCATCTCAAACCATTGGCTTCTGTGTTTCTTCTTACTCATTTTGGGAGAAGGGATATAGCATGCATTAGATTTGGAAGCAGGAAAATAAATGGGTTAGGATACTGCAAAAGCCACGCTGTATTACTGTTTATCACCTTGGAGCCCAGGCATTTGCTGTAGTGATGGTTTTGGTTTTGTGCATGTGGGAACTCTGTAATGTAGAGTTTTCATTGCTCTTTTATGAGCATAGTACTAGGCTTTTTCTTTTGAATCAGAATGATTCTAAAACATTGCCATTCTCTGTTAGTCAATGAAAGATTAGTAAAGCAAGAAAAAAAAATCCCAGTCTAAGTATTTGCTAATGTTTCCATTAAATACCAGATATAGTTGGGGATTGACTGGAGAAAGGCATGAGGGAACTTTCTGGATGATGGTAACATCCTATATATTGATTGGAGTTTGAGTTGCACAGGTGTATGCATTTATCAAAACTTGGAGAATGTACACTTAAGATTTGTGCATTTCACTGTGTGCAAATTTTACCTCAAGGGAAAAACTGTAAACAATATAAAAAATATTGAATTCTAGTTGATACATGTGCTGAAGTATTTAGAGAAGAGTTTGCAGTTTACTTTGAAATGCATTTTAAAAATAAGGTGGATTGAAGACTGCTTTGTGGGAAACATTGCTATGTGCTGGGGATTCAACAATGTAGAGACGGTTCTTCCACTGTCTAATAGGGAGCTTCTTGCTGGGATAGTAACTTCACATTTGTTGCTGTGTAGAAGGTATCTAGAATGAATCTAAAGATAGCAAGAAAGCTTGCTGGACCTATTGTGAAGAACAGGTATCTACTTTCTCCACACAGAAGGGAAATAGAAAGAAAAAAATAAATAATAATGTGGATTGATGGATCGATAGAAGGGTAACTATGTGATAAAACAAGTGTAATGAAATGTTAATGGTAGGATATGGGTGGTGGCTATACAGTGTTTACTGAAAAAAATTCTTTCAACTTTGGTATATTTTTAAGCGTTAACATTATAAAATGTTGAGAGGAAAAGCTGATGTAATAACCTTTATGTTTAAAGACAGTGTTAGATTAAATGCACTCAACTTTTAGATAACTTCATTAAATTTGTTTAAAATATTTAATAGTGCTATTTATTAGGTAAATATTCTAAAAGTGGTATTTTAATATAATTTCACAAGCCAGATATAAATCTGTGAGATTCATGTATTTCAAACCAAATGTATCATGTTGATTGGAGCAACTTTTATTTGTTGCTATATAGTTTTTGTTTGGAAAGTGTAATTTTTATTTGTTTAACTTTTATTTTTAATATTAAAACTACTTTTTTTGGACAAGACAGATACACTTTTGCCTAGGGTAAAGATTAATTCTTGATATTTGTGTTTCGTTAAAAATATAAAATTGTGTTTAACTGATATATTCTCCATCCCATCATCCCACACCCCTACCTTTTTTTTTTTTCAGATCATTGTTATGGCCTGTCGAGAATTTGAGATGGGAAGGGTATGTGTATACCTATTAACATTTTAAATAATTATAGAGTGTCCCTTTTATCACTTCATTTCTAGGTGTTATCTATACAATATAATAAAAGACATCATTCCTAGTCTTTTATTGTATTCTGAGTCCATGTAGCTAAAGTAGATATTTCTTTTCTTTTTTATGTTCTGCTATTGCTTTATTTGATACAAAGAACAAAACAACTTCTAAAGCACATAAACTTTTCATTTTATAAACACATTTTGTCATGTACTTAAAATAATAGACTGAATTGTTACTCAGTAGTCTTCAGATTTCTAATGGTGTAAGTAGAATAAGCATTAGTATTTATGGACTGAAGTAGAGAGGTATTTAAAAACAGGAATGAAATTGAGCAAATGAAAATGAATTAAATAAAATAATTCTGATTAGTCACCATTAGTTGAGAGCTTACATATTCTGATTTGTCTGTCTGTAAATACCACTTCATTTTTTGTTATATTCTGATTTTTAATATTGGTATTTTTATGCTCTTTACAAGTGGAATTAGTTCCCAAAACGATTGTGATACCTGTCTTACAGCATTGTAGTGATATAATAATATATTTACAGAGAATAATATTTAAATAAAATGTAAGTATGTTTTTCTATAAATACAGCACACAAATCAAATTTACAAAACAATCAAATTATGTGGTGTTTTGTTTGAAGTTTCCTTATACTAATATTGTTCATTATTTAAACTGAAAATCACTTTTAAGTTATAAGAATTAGTATTAAAATTTTTCCAGTAAAGGATATGTTGCATAAAGCAAGACATAACATCATATGTGAGGTGCTATAATGTATAGGGTCGCCATGAGTCAGAATCAACTCAATGGCAATGGGTTTGTTTTTTTTTTTTTTTAAACAGGTGATAACTCCATTTACTATGAGTTATAATCCATACTAGAGAAAGACCTGATGATCTGTTCCCATAAACATTATAGCCTAGAAAACCCTAGGGAGCAGTTCTACTCTGTCACATGGGGTCACTATGAGTTGAAATCGAGTCCATAGCACCTAACAACAACAACGTAGCCCATACTATGAGAATTTAATTAGAAATTCCTGAATTGATACATTTCCCATTGCCAAAAGGTTTATTTTAACCTGGATAGTCACTTACAGGCTTTTATTTTATTGAGTCTTAATAAAAATTGCATCATTTCTTAGTATCTTTAACAGAATCACTCTATCTTCTATAAAGTTATGTTTTTCATTCATTTACCTAATTAATCTCAAATGTTTGGGCTTAATCTTAGAAACCAATAAAAATAAAATGTTCCTGCTGTTTCTCTTCCTGTTTAAAATGATAAGGTAAAAGGGAAAACTGATTATACTTTATGTAATTTCAAAGAAAATTACATAGTTAAAATAATACATTATGCTGGTAAAGACTTTTTACCATCAACAGAACATTAGAAATAATACAAAACAACCCTGTAAGGTAAGGATTACTACTCCTATTTTTACAGGTAGAGAAACTGAAGGTCAGTAAAACAGTAAGATTTTTGTTGTTGTTAGGTGCCGTCGAGTCTGCTCCAACTCATAGTGACCCTGTGTACAATAGAATGAAATACTGCGCAGTCGTACGTCATCCTCACAGTCATTGCTATGCTTGAGCCCACTGTTGCAGCCACTGTATCAGTCTGTCACATTGAGGGTCTTCCCCTTTTTCGCTGACCCTCCACTTTCCCAAGCATGATGTCCTTCTCCAAGGACTGATCCCTCCTGACCCCACGTCCAAAGTATGTAAGATGTAGTCTCACCATCCTTACTTCTAAGTAGCATTCTGGCTTTACTTCTTCCAAGACAGGTTTGTTCATTCTTCTGGCAGTCCATGGTATATTCAATGTTCTTCGCCAACACCATAATTGTAGAACAGTAAAATTAATATTTGCAAAATTTTTCTGGCACCAAGAAGAGTGCTGTTTCCACAATGTCACAGATTTTACATTAATGAGACGTCAGGCAGATATTATAGAGGTTGTCATGTTAATAAGTGTCGTAATTTGTCAGCAGTAGCTAGAAACACTTAATACTAAATGGACCTCATTGTGTTAGTCACTGTTTTTAGCTTTTTTCTACATGGGGTCTTCTCTGTAGACCATGTAGGTAGCAATGAATGATTTATACGCTTATGTTAATAAGATTCTTATGATTAACCTTGGAGAGGACAAAATAGTCCATTAAGAACAATTGGGTAAATCTAAGCTCTCCCAGCTACTTGCCTGAAGTAGTAGCAAGCTGAACCCCAGGGCACAAAATATTTATAAAAATTTAAGGAAAACTATCACATGGATTACTTACTAACTTTTATTTGGACGACAGAAAAAATGTGAGCGTTACTGGCCTTTGTATGGAGAAGACCCTATAACCTTTGCACCATTTAAAATTTCTTGTGTAAGTATCTATTTTTATATACATTATTCAAAAATTGGCATGCTAGATTGATGAATAATTAAATCGTAATGTGGTATGAACCTGGTTATATATACACCAAGCACTCAGTGCTTTCACATAAACCTGCATTTACTTGTAATAAATAGTAACTTAATAAACGTATTTGTTCTGATACTGCCTTTAAATTTAGAAGCTTTGGGAATGGCTTTTCATACATGTATAATTTTCTTGTGTTAGTATACCAATTGATAAAAACTGCTTTTGGGTGTATAGGAGTAAAAGGAATTATAGTGGGCTTTAGTGATCTATTTGGCAATTGTATTTTAAATTGAATAAATGGAAAGGCCCTTCCTTGATGACTGAAATATAGTATACTATGTTAACCTTTCATAGCTATGTTACGTTCATCAGAATTGTTATAATTATGTAGAAAGGTGTGTGTGAGAACTGTCACCCTGCAAGAAAAGGTTGATTCTTTGTTTCACTTAAAAAACTTTGGGAGCCTGGAAATTATTACAGGAGATTCTTCTTTTTATATTTTTTTATTGTTGTAGTTTAAGTGAAAGTTTACAATTCAAGTTAGTCTCTCATACAAAAATTTATACATACCACAGGAGATTCTTTAACAATGAAAATTAAAATACATACCTTATATTTAATGGCCTCTGGAAATGAATTAAATTCAGGTTCCAAAACTAGCACAGCGAAATTCTGGGCAAATGAACTAAAAAACAAAGAAGAAAGAAAGAAAGTGAGTAGAGGAAAATGATGGGGTGGGCAAAAATAAATGAATGAATGAATAAATAAAATAAAATAAATGTAAGCACACTTAAGAATAGAACCAAAAATTTGCTTTGGGTCCCACATGATATCATTTTCTTTTTTTCTTTCTATGTGTACAATTCAGTGACATCAGTTACATTCTTCCAGTTGTGCTGCTGTTCTCACTTAATTTATTTATTTATTTTGACTTAAATTTTTATTGATGTAATTAAATGAAGTTTACATTTCAAGTTAGTCTCCCATACAGAATTTTTTTTTTTTTTTACATACATTGTTATGAGACCCCAACTGCTCACCCCATTCTGCGACAGCACACTCCTCCCCTCTGCCCATGATTCTCCATGAACGTTCAACCAGCTCCTAACTCTCTCTGCTTTCCCATCTCACCTCTGGACAGAAGCCGCCCCTTTGGTCTCTTGTA